ATAATAATAACTCATTGATAATAATTTCTTATAATAATTACTGCTAATACTTAACCACTGATATTAACTAATTACTGATAATATTTCTCATTATTAATTCGGAATGATAATTAATAACGATTTTCATAATGGTAATTAATAATTCAGAAATAATAATTTTATATTTATATTAACCCATATTAATTATTTTGAAAATAAATATTGGATGTTAATTATTTATATTAGAATTATTATCAGAAATTATAATTCATACATTTATATGAAATAATTAATTTTATTTTATTATTATCAGTAATTATAATTAATACTTATATTAATTAATATAATTATATTATTATTATCATCAACAATTATAATTAATTATTACTAATAATAATGATTTCTGATAAAAATTAATTACTAATTATAATTACTTACTGATAATTAATTTCTTAATTATAATAATGTTAATTATTAATTGGGATATAATTATTTTATATTTATATTAATTTTTTTATAAATATATAATTAGTGTTAATTATTTACATTATTATTATAAGTAATTATAATTAATACTATTATTATTCCCCAATAAATATTTCATTTAGTGAAAGTTAAATTATAAACTTTCGATTTGTCATTATTGTTAAACTAAAAGAATTATAAAAGCAATTATTATTTCAAGAATTAACTAAAAATCGTAATTATAACAAATTAATTACTTCATAATAATAATAATAGTAGTAATTTAATATTACTGATTTCAAAATCAATACACACATAATAAGAATATATTATTAGTAAATAATAGTAATAATAATATACTTAATATTATTACTGATTTCATAATTATTAATATATTATTAATCTATATTACTCAATAAAGACATGGAATAAAAAATATTCAAATTACCACTAAATGAATGAACTAAAAATCCGAGTATTCTAATTGACTTGAATTTGACACATCAACATGCCCAAAATTATAATTTCAACATACATTTTCTATTTTTATCTCCCAATTCCCATAATTCAAACATACCATTAGGTTATGTACATGTTTCCCTATCTTTTCCTAAAGATAAATTCTAGCCATTCTACGTGCATTGTGGGGGGCTTAGACTTAAAATCCATAACCATGATCGACCAAAAGAAGCATTGCCACCTAACTTGGAAGTGACTTCCATACTTAGGATGGTCTCATTATTCTCCTTTCTTTCATGCTTCATCTATTGGATGGGCTTCGGAGTCCTAATTATATTATCAGTTGATTGTAGCCATACATGATAATGTTTTGATTGTAGTCATATATTTTTCATCTCTTACTTTAGAGGATGGATGCATCTGCAAGTGTTGTTTGGCATGGATTGTTTTTCTTAGTAGCTCTTTGAATGATTTTCTTCCTTCTTTGCCTCTTTGAATGGGCATCATAAATTCTTCTTATCCATTCATATGTCCCTAAATATTAAGCAATATTGATGATATTGTTGTAAACATCCATCTAAATTTACTATTTTATAAATAGATTAATGATTTCAAAGTCATTGATACTTTTTTGGGGGTGGGTTGCTCAACATGACATTAATGTTGTATTGTTAAATAGTAAATTTCAAATTAAATGATACTGTACTTGCCCCTTAGTATGGGGTCATTGTCTAGATAAAACATGGTAAATCTCTTAAATCAAATAAAGAGCCTACCCTAAATGTCTATTATAAATAATTAAAAAATGAAATAATTCGGATTAAATCAAATAATTACTTACTCAAAATTACTGAATTAAGTAAATAATAATAACAATCAATTATTTATAGAAATAATTAATAATAATAACAATCATCAAGTACTTATTTAAGTAAATAATAAAAAATGAAATAACAATCATTAGTTATCATTAATGTTTATTCAAAGCATGTCCCATAATAATTACCAAATACAGTAATTAAACCTTAAATAAGAATCAATATTTATTAATAGTCATCAATGTTTATTCTTAAATGAAAAATATGAATTAACAAATCTATTATATAATAATTATATTCGATTGGAAAAAATATTTTAAGTAAATATTTAAATAATTACAAATTTAGTTAATATTATTACTAAATAACAAAAATTTTAAATTAAATACTAAAATAAATTAATAATAATAATAATGGTTAAATTAAAGTAATAAATGTTTCAAGTTGAATTTAATGACCCATATAATTTTATAAGTTTGACATATAAGGGTCAATTTATGTGGACCCATAGACTGTATGAATGTTTTAAAAAATGGAAATTTATAAATAATAACAAAAAATGATAATAAAAATCATTAATGTTTATTCATATATATATATCATTCACTGGTGTAAGATAATAATATGGATTGATTGGACACTTGTCACAAAGCAGAGCGAATGGGTCAAGGTTTTTGATAGAGGTGCAACAATCCCGAGTCGCCTACGTCCTATGTCTTGATATTTGTTTGATAGAGGTGCACGCCATAATTAGGTATTGGGTCAAGTTGAAGTTGCCAATAAACAAAGCAACCATTTACTGATTTACATCTTCAAGGACCCGGGACACAACAAAACTGGAAAGTGGAAACAAAAATAAACCAACAAACTGTTGCCTATAAGGTTTTAAAAATTGGACCGGACACAACCGTTTTAGGGACCGGTTCCTGAGTCGAACGGATGGCTCATTCTAATTTTAAAAAATAAAAGATAAAAATAAAAAGTCAAAGCTGACCATTGTTTGGGTTGATGATGGGTTGATAGTTTGATCACTGGTCACTAACTAAATCAACAATTTTTGGCCAATAAGCAATTTATGGTGAAATGAAACTAGTTGTCTGACCGGTTCTTAGGTCAACCAATCTGACCACCCAGTCCAGTCAAGTTTTCAAAACCATAGTTTTTAAAACTAAAATGGTGTTTGGTTCTAGAGCCATTTATTTGAAAAATGGTGCCAACTTATCATAATATGTGTTTATCTCAAAATGCTATTTGCATGGTATTTGGCCGTAAGACTAAGACTGTTTATTAAATAAACATTTTCTTTCTTTGTGTGAGAGCCAACTGTTGGGGGTAAATACCATTTTTAATATTTCCCCCAACATTCAGCCATCTATTTATTAATTATTATTAAGTTTATGTGATATCTAATCACATCTAATGGCACCTAACTGTCAAACAACATATAAACGTTTTTCAATTACTTTCTCATTTTTTAAAATAAAAATAATATAATATATTTATTAAATAAACGCCCATGATACTAAAGCCCCCAAGGTCTTTGAGAGAATTGATTACTAATTCAAGAAATCGATCTCCTTTCTGTGTTACAGTTGCAGACTGTACATTAATCCACCATTGTTTTAGATAAAAAGCAATGTCACCCTGTCAATTAATAACAAAAATAAAATTAAGACTAGAAAGGTGTAATCAGTGATGTAAGAACTCGATGAAATTAGTCAAAAAAAAAAATCAATAAAGAAAGTCTAAAACCACGAACGTCGTTTGTGGATCAGCCGCAGAATGATCAATTAGACGTTCTACCTCCCCGTGGTGTTTCTTAGGTTGTTTTGGTTTAATAGAAAACATGAGACCATTCAAAGTGGTTTTGCGCGAGTCTGGATCTCCTGCTCATAAGAATTCTGCCCACATCTACCTACATAACATCACAGCTACACATGAAGAATATCTCATCCTCCTACATACTATTATACACGGGAGATGCTCCCAATGCACATAAGTAGTGTATTGTGGGCAGAGTTTTTGTGGGTAAGAAATCTGGAGTCCTTGCCTTGGCCCCGAGACTCCCGTAATATTGCTTCACGAAAGCAGTTTGAGATTAAAGAGTAACGCTACGGCACTACATTTTGGCCAGTGAGTTTTAGTTAAATTTATGGCCTCACACCATGTCGTTAAAGAGATTCAACCCAAGTACCTTTCAGGATTAGAGGACGTTTGGCACCGGTGCATTTCATGACCGTTTCATTTATGCTAATGTGTCATGCACGAAACATCAGCAAATAAACGAAATCGGTAAAAAAAAAACGGCATTTGGTAGCCCTACTTTTGAAAAAAAAAAGTTTTTACAATAATTAATTTTGGGATTCGAGAAAGGAGAGGTTTCTTGAAATGCAAAATTTCCATTTCGCTTGTGAAATGGAAATTTGAAAAAACTGATTATTTTTTGAGACGTTACATAGTTATCATTATAAATATAAGTCAAATCACTTTAAACGCCCAATCAACCTGCATCCCAATTTATTTGTTTATTAATAAAACAAGTGAAACAAATCGCTTGTGAATTGGAGCTCACTTATAAAGCGAAACGATCTTAAAACACACCAGTGCCAAACATCCTCTTAGAAAGCCAAATTGTTTGACTTCCAGAATTACAGTGCAGCAGTGATATAAAACAGGGAACTACTCGTAGCCTCCTAGGTAGAATGGAACAGTAATTGAAGAAGATGTATCATGTCAAAAGTCTTCTGGGTGAAATTGATGGGCTGGGCTCAGATCTGTTACCCACATCTCTATCCAGAGAGATTATGAAATATCTCCCTTATCATTCATGGTGAGAGAGATATTTCCAATACACAGTGGTGTTCGGTGAATAGTGTTCGATGGGTAGGTATGTGGGAACAAGTTGTGAGTAGCAGATTCCGAGTGGAAATTGATAACCGAGATTAGAATATACCACAGGCACAGTGCTGTTACCCATCAAGGGTAAAGAGTACATTAAAAGAGTCAAGACTAATTTGGTTTGCAGGAGTAGGTCAGTAGGGGTCTGATTCGAACCGTTTGGTGAGGTGAAATTAGAATCTAATTCCTATTCTTCATGGAATGACATTCCCCTAACCATTCCCTCCCCCTTTCTTGGGAATCAGATCCCAATCCAGCTGATACCCAACTGAACCAAACAGGTTATGGAAATAGACCATTCTGATTCCGATTCCTACAACAAACCAAACGGACCCTAAAAACGGTAATGAGTGGAAAAAACAAATGAAACAACGAAACAAATTTACAGTGAAGATTCACTTCTCATAAAAATTGGTCAACCGCGTTATGGTGCAAGCAAAAATTGAAATTTATAGCTCTTTCTGCAAAGACGAACAAAGCTACAGTAGTCATTCTAGTACTCGCTCCAAGAACAATAATAAACAATTCATTCAGAAACAACAAACATGCCAGTTCTCATCAGAATGAGAGACTGGGTAACTTGATCTTTATTCACGGAGCTCAAAGATGAATGGATCCTACAGATGACCTTTTCCACCGCCCTCTCCACCTTCCTCTTTGGCCTTCCGTGCAGCTGCTCGTATTTGACGTTGCTCCTCCTTGTAGACGCGGTTTCTTCGTTGGTACTGCAATAGCAAAGATCCACAACTACCTCAGTAGGAATCACCACGACATATCATATTCACACAATAAAAATGGTGACACCTAGCACCTAAATTACTGATATATGGCTACAGGACCTACAGCCAGGGCTTTTGCATCTACATCTATCTCAATTCAAATCCCAATTATTTGGGGTTAGCTATATGAATACTGTCCCATAATTGTGTTCCACCAAGAGCCATGTTTTTCTGTCAAGAAACCAATTGTTGAGATCTTATAAATCATTACACTGATCTAAAATGATCAGAAAAATCAACTGATCACGCTGCATCAACGGGCCAATTGTTTTCCATTTTATGAGCACTGACAAATCTGGTTAATAGTTCTTGAAGATATCAGCAGTCCAGATGGTTGTATTCATCCAATTAGTTTTACCTTTCATTCAGTATATTATCTAGAGGGGAGGCAGTTTCAAGTTTCAACCATACATCCAATGGTATCAAGCATACCAATCCATGCCTCACTTGGACAGAGCTTTGGTGAGTTATACCCAGACCCTAGCTGTGCAACTACCTTTACTGTAATTTGATGGCTATAAAAAAGGGAAAGGAGTTGAGGCAGCCCTTGCTGGTACTCATTTCACCCCAGAAGCTTGACACATGACACCCTCATTCTGAGGTCAGAGTGTCTCCAAAAAGCTTCCTTCTCTCAACTTCCCAGGTGCCAAGGTCATTTCTCTGGCCAGACTAACCTGCCAGAAAAGGCTTCTCCAATGGACACTGACTAATAAACCCCTCCCTCTCTTTCCTTGTCATCTGTAGACATTGTCAATCCAGAGGGATACATTTTAGATGAACCATCTGAAATCTGGATTAGCTGCACCATCCTTCAATATGGATGAAAATGGTGTTAATTTGAACTTTGGAGAAGCATTTTGTATCAGGGCTTTCAGCCCAGAATACATATGTTCTCTTATACCAATATCCATATAGCACAACTTCATTCAGTATGTATTTAGTTGCTTAAAGCAAGACGTGCACTTTGTTTTACACATAAAGACTGCTTAATTACACGTCTCCTCAAACCACTCCAAGTATTTAAAGAAAATACTTAAGACAAAATAACAATAATAAGAACAAATAATAGTAAGAAAATGGTTGGGATGCAAACTTGGCATCAAGAGTCACTATGGTCTTTGTTTGTAAAGCTATTTTCACTATCCTTCATTCTTTTTCCAAATTCATTAGATATGAGCTTGCCATCTTGGTGGATAAAACTGGGAAGTTGCTCCATTGATCATTGATGCTCAAACTTTTCAAGTTGTATTGCATCTCCCTATATAAAAACTTTCCTATTTCATCATATTCTCCAGTTCCATAGCTGGCTTATTTTAGTATCTTGGTTTTCTGGTTTTCCAGCAGTGCTGTAAGGAACCTTCTTAATTGATCAAGTGTCCACGCCAGACATGCATCGGATTCACTCCATCAGTTCTTGCAGGACACTTCTACATAATATGTTTCATATATAAATCAACAGAAACTTTAAAAAAAAGGGCAGCGCAGTACATGAGGCTGCCAATGTGGGGTCTGGGGAGGGACAGATAAATGCAGGCTTACCCCTGTACATACAGAGAGGCTGTTTCCAAGATTTGAACCCTAGTCACCCAGGTTGCAATGGAGCAGCCCAACTGTTGTGCCGAGGCCCACCCTCATATGATCAAACAGAAAATATACAAAATAAATGCTATTTTTAAGGGAATCTTTAGGGAATTCAGGCAATTAAGGAATTGGGGAGTCATTACGAACTGTGAAGAACATATAATTGCTTTATTTTCTAACCTTCATCGGTGTTGGAGATTCAACCAGGGCAGTAATGTTGGCTGTCATACATGGCTAGAGCATTGAACTTTGGGAACCTCATGATGGAAGGGGACTCACATGATGGTAAAATGACTAAAGAAACAATTGGACTGGTTCTTGGAAATATAGATATCCCATGAAGGAGATTAATTGACTGGAGGAACTTAACACAAATTACAAGTGAGTTCCTAGGACTGCCAGTTTTTTGGCAGATGGGTTGGCAAAACAGGGAGAATCTAGAACTGAGCTTTTCTGGGGGCCTGAATTCTCAAGGTGGGAATTTGTAAGATGTAGAGAGGCTGGCATGCACTGGCCAACATGAGAGGTCCTAGGCACATATCTTTATATACACTGTTATTTGACATATAATTAGTATTAATAAATGTCTCACTTACTGATAAGAGAAAACAATGATGACCATTTTAACAAGGGGTGTATAGGGATCAAGAAAATTTTCATATAATTCCGCATCAATTTCATTTTTCATATTGGAAAGCATTCAAAAAAAGGAAGAAAAGGAAAGTGTTTGAAAAAAAATGGAGATTATTGGTTTTTTTGCCAAAAAGAAAAATAGCTCATTTAGAAAAGAAAAAAAAAACATCTAGCAGTTACTGGCAAAATCCGATGAAATTTGGGGTAAGACAAACAAAGGATGCCTACCCTGGGCAAAGTCCCATCAACATAGAAAAAGGAAAAAGAAGAAAAAAAATCCCACTGGTATTTCTCACAATGGTTGATTTTGCAAAAATCAAATGGAGATGAATGATGCAGTGTTCATGATTTCATTCAAAAATCTCTTGAATGAGTTGACAACTTGGTTGCAGCTTCCATCACCGAGGTACAAAATTGAGGAAGTGGAACGCAAATATTGTGTAAAAGGTTCAAATTCAAATAATGGGACAAGATTGGAAGTTTTTAGGAAACAATTGCATCACAGAGAGAGAGACGAAGTAGAGTACAGCAAAGTGGGTGGTTCACAAAATCAAAGAGCACTTTAGAAAAAACATTGATGGTATTTTTATCAGTAATTAAGAAGTTACTTCATTAATTATGTCGAAAATATAACAATATAGTTTTGAATCACCCTCAATTTCCATATTCTTAAATCCCTGCTGCTTTGCTAGCTTGAGATCTTGATGTAGAGCTGTTATTTCTGCTCTTGCAGAGTCCCCTACTCCAATTGGCCCTGAGAACAAAATCACCACTTTCCCTGCATCATCCTTGAACATACATCCAATTCCTGACAACCCTAGGTTTCCTATTGAGCTTCCATCAAAATTTAAGTTTATTAATCAACATTGATGACGTTAATTTTGACGACCTCCAATTCTATTGGTCAAGAATGGTAGAATTAGAAAAAGAAATTGATGATTTCAAGCCAAAAAACATGGATCTGGAAGTTCAGCGGTCACAATCCATTGCAGACAAAAGCCCAATCCAAGTGATCGAAGTTTCAAATGAAGAAGGTAGCATGTAAGGAGAGAACCAAGAGAGAATTTCAGATTTTTCAAATGATAGAGGGAATGTTGGGAAATAATTTGAAACATCATTAAACAACTTTAGGTTGTCAATGGAAAGTCAAAATGAATGAGGTTGAGTAAGAAGTGAAGTGTTATGTCAATTAAGAGTCTTGTAAGTGGGCTAGAGTCCAAGTGTCATACATTTATGCGCTGCTCAGGAACATTAAAGAAATAGAGACCAAAAGTACACACAAAAATGGGGTTGAAAATAACATTGTTATTTATATTAAAAAGCATAACACTGGGAGCCCACATTCTTGGAGATATATGTCCCATAGAGGGCACGTACAAGCTCCTAGCTCACTTAGAAAAGAACCAAAACTTTAATTTACCCTTCACCTTTTACTTTCCCTTTCGATTCGGCTGACCTGCCTTCTCTTGCTTTACAAGTCTCCTCTTTACACTTTTCTTTCCATTTTTCTCTATTCTCTCTTATTACACACAGCCCCTTTTATAAACAACTCACTAGACCCTTAAACTTCCAAATTAATATTAACATATCACTTGCAAAGAAGTATGACTCTTGAACTCTGGCCCACTTACAAGACTCTTAATTGACATAACTTTTTATTTATCTCTTACTCAACTGATTTCCATTGACAGCCTGAATTTGTTTAATGATTTTTCAAATTGTTCCCCTGATCTAAAAGAAAAATGATGACCATTTTCCTATGAATTTTTATTTTTATATGGGTTTGTATCACTCATTATTAAAGTAGCAAAGATAAACTTTTGGACCTTTTTAGAAGCCTCAAACTTTTCCTATGAGTTGTTACCCCATCCTCCTAAAATATTTTAGGTGAAAATATGACCAGGTTGTATACCTCCTAAAGACTACAGCTTTTTGTTGAGAGATGAAACTCTTGAAGATAAGCACTTTTGAGATTCTTCAAAAAGAGAATACCTACTTGAAAACATGTGCATTTTATGCAAGCAAGTTGTGGTTTTACTTGTCATTTGCTAATCACTTGCTTGTCTTTTCCTACTATTTGGGAAAACTTCTTTTCTTTGTTTGATCTTAGGTGGATGCCCCCACAGGATATTTGACAATCTTTTCAGTCCCTTCTTTTTCTTTTCATGAAAACATGGAAAATTTTATGAGTTACACAAAAGCAACCATACTTTGAATGATATAGGAAAAGTGGAAGTAAGACTCTTTTTTTTAAACAAAGTACAAACCTTGGAGGCATTGATTGAGCTCATCTTCACCAGATTGCTCATTGGGGTTGAACGTTGAACAAGTTCTCAATGTTTACAAAGGATGGTGCCATTAAGAATGGCAAGCAACAAATCAACATCTACAAGAAGGGACACTAAGGTTCTTGATTGACACCCCCTGCCCTCCAATTAATCAAATCAAAGATAACTTTGATGGCTGCAGATATGAGAATCCTTACAACTCAAGCATAGGTAGATCTTTTAGAGACTGTAAAGGGGATGTTCTGGTGGGGTACTGAGGCCCTATTCGAGGTTTGAGACTAGGAAGACCTTTAGGCTATGGGAACTTGGAAACGGAAGGGGATACAGAGACAATTGTAAACTGATACAAGAAAGGGCGCTGTAAGCCAATGGCAGCTCTGTCAACAAATTAGGGAGCCCAAAGACCTGGTATTGAGCTTAAATTAGTTTCAACTTTGGTTATATCAGAAAATGCTCTTGGGATGCTCTAGTTAGAGAGGAAAAAACACAGTCTACGTCTTGGGGCACATACAACCTGGGTTAGTATTTGTGTTCTATTATCTCTATACTTCATAATAACAGTCAAATCATCATATGATGATGATAATAGAAATAATAGTTGATAAGATAAATGAATGCATTAATGAGGAAAAATATAGGAATAGCACATTACCAGGCAAACTGTGTATATAAAGCCCAACTCAGCATAAACCTCACCAGCAAGGCAAACAAATGCATTTCCGGTACATGCTCATATTTTATGAGTATAATGTACAATTATCCTGTGAGGCTAGCCCCTAAATGCATATCTCCACACACAAACTCGTGCTAGACTACAAACCAAAATATTAGATAAAACCCATCTAAACAAAATGTTCACTCTAGATGCAAGAGCTTGAGCCTCTCCAATGTAGTCCCCAGAAGACTAGTGTCTCTCCGCCACATCCCTAAACCAGCACATAACCACCTGATAATCTCCCTCCACCGCTGTGCCATGAGTTGAATACCCTCAAGTAGTTATGAGAAGCAACATCAAAGTTGATCTTGACCAGTCCTTGAAAAGGGGGGTGAGTTTCACTTCTGACTGATGGCCTGACTAGACTCACTAGAGGAGAAAGATCTTTAATTTCAATAGCATGACATCCAATCTACCAATGAAGAACAGCCAACACTCATCACATTACAAGTGCACCAGAATTGGACTGGAAAATTTTTTTACCATCAACATCAAGTTTTAACTTAAACAAGTCTGAAAGACAATGGCACCATAGTTATACCTATTTTTTATAGGAAAGCTATCAGATAATTTTATTAAACATATAAAATGAGCAGGTAATGATTCAAAACAGGGAAACAGAACGAGTACTCCTTACTCCCCTAGTCCCTTACAACAATCCTGAGGGAAAGCCACAAAATGCTACCCTACCGAAACAACATAGTCACCCCAAATCAGCCTGGAGTGATGTTTCCCAAATACAATGAGTTCCTTCCAGTTCCAGCGAATCCTTTGTAACTATCAGCAATGGATTTCACAACCTAGGAATAAATTGTTACTCGCTACATCTTAACCCAATGACCGTAGCTCTCCAATGAATTGACTACGAGTCATTGCCTATCCGAAGAAGAAAACGTCCAACCTATAACACCTGGGAGTCTTTCTCCCTCTCTAGCCCCCTTTTGCCTTTCCTGTTAGACCCCTGAAGGCTCCTCCAACTCTAAAAGAAACGGAATTGCGTAGTGTGCCTTCATCAAAGTCAATTTTCACTTGCCCCTAAAGTGGTGCATCCTATTCCTGCAATACCAGCTGTCTATGAGGATAAAAATTAGCAACAGCCTGCCATCCTTATGAAAGAAATCATCGGTTAACTCCCCCTTCTCCCTCCCCCGATTTGTGTTAGGTGAGAAAAAATCATCGGTAACTCCCCCTTCTCCCTTCCCCGATTTGTGTTGGGCGATATCAAATTACATTAAAAATACAGAATGGTTTCGTAAAAGAACAATAAATATAAACTCCAAAAAAGCATTCAAATACGTCATAAAGTCCAGAAATATAGTTTCGATTTGTTTCACTGCTAAATCTAGAAAAAAAAAAGTAGGGTTTTGAATCGTTGTAACAATAGCAGATCAGATCGACCTTTTTTTTTGCTGCTATCATCAATCATGGAGGAAAGATAAATTGAACGACACAAAAGATAAATAAATAAGAAGATGAAGGCTAAGGAATCATGTGAGAATGGATGAAACACCTCTTTGGCGTGGTGAAGACACTCGAGATAGTCTTCTCTGAGAAGAGAACAGTCTTTGGGCTCCCTGCAACGAGACATACACTCGCTGAAATCTATCCAGAAATCATAACACCTTCCCTTGTTTCCTGTGATCCCCCAGCCTGAAGCCATCTCTCACTCTCTCTCCCACTCTCTCTCTCTCTCTCTCTTTGGTTACAGACGGCAGAGGGGGTTTTCTCTTGTTTGTTACGGTGCTTTGAGTTTGAGGATTACTGGACCAAATAGAATGGCACGTGTGACGACGATGGCGAGTATTGAGCCGGGCCAATGGTAAGTTGGAACCGAACCTGCGTCAAAATTTAGGTCCAAAATTAGTTTGAATTGGGTTCGGGATGGTCTAGGTATGGGCTTGGCGTTCTTGGGGGTGTGAGACACTGAAACTAACTACAAGCGGGGGGAAACAGCTCACTGCGCAGGCTTTTTTTTCCAAACAGCCCATATTTTTCCCAAAGTCGGGTACTTGATTAGCATCGGGTCCATTCGGATGGAGATACTGAAACTAACTCCATCTGACACCGTACATCTGCAACCCACCATAAAAGTAGGAACCGCCATGTATGAGATGTACGGTGTCGGATGATGTTGCTACTTGATAGGGTGTTTGGAACAGAGATCGGATCTGTTCTTCAGGGCGCCTCACTCCCTTATAAGTTATTATTTACTGGAGATGTTCTCAATGCATAGTAGATGTATTTGTGGAGATTAGATCTACTCCTCACATAAGGTGATTCACACCGATCTCGTGCACATCCTACCATGCATTGGGATCATCTCCAGTAGTTATAAATTATTATTCACGGGAGATGTTCCCAATGCATGATGGATGTGCCTGTGAGGCGCCCATGTGCGAGGAATAGATCTCATTCCTAATTGGCAGGTGATCCGGCATGTCAGGAGCTTCATTGTTATGGGAGTCTTCTTTAAGTTGTATAATTTCATTCTGGATCCGCTATCCATAAAGTGTTTCCATCTTTATCCACAAAACACTACTGCTATGTATTGGGAGCATTTCCCCATGAATGAATGATAAGAGAGATACAGCTATAATGTACCGTGGGTAGAGATGTGGTAACAGACTATAGGCAGTAAGTAGTCTAGTAGATTCGAGCCCATGTGATCTTTGTTGTAGGTTTTTGACATTTGTTTTGTGGCATTGTTCGATTCTTTGGCGATGCTTGTGTGAATGGTAGAACTATTCATGGCTCGGTTCATTCTAAGTCGGGCTTGGACATGACTTCTGGCCCGTAGACTTGAGCTTGGGCCCAAAACACCAGGCCCGACCTTCTTTTAGGTTGGGCTTTGGGCTTTCTCAAAAAAGCTCGAGCCTGAGCCTAACTTGATAATCTATTATATGATAAAACTATATTTTATAATATATAATATGTTTTTTCTTTGTTCTTCTCTTTTTTCAAGTGATAGTGATATTTTATAGAGACAAAGCTCAACCTATGAATAAGTCTAGTGAGTGGGAGGTAAGGTAACAATAGGGATCTACCTAAAAGACCATAGATGGCTTTGGAAAAGATAGAGGAGAAGAGAGGTTGCACAAAGCTACAATGGAGCTTTTAATGGAAGTTGGAGGCATAATCAAACAGAGCTTTTACTTTGGGGTCCACATACGAGCACAAATTCGGCTACAACCTTGCTTCTAGAAACCTCTCATGCCTTAGTTGTTTTGATTGAAGTTTCAATGTGATGGTTCATTGTTGTAGTTCTTATGTGTTACTTGATTACATTATAGTGCTCAAATAATGCATTATGGCTAACCTACATTATGTTATTGCGCTACAACACTTTTGGTGTTGCATGCAGCACAAGGAATTATTGCGTCACTGTATGTGCTGCGTCACTGTATTGCATGGTGACGATGGCCTCTCGCATCTCACTACAAGAACTCTGATTTGTTGTAATTCAATTGCTAAGTGAGATTGTGTTGTAGGGGGTTTCTTTAGATTATCAATTATGGTTAGGAACTTTTTAGCACAGTTCACTTGCTATTTGAGTGCGGAGAATTAGACTCGTGATATAATGTGATTGTGCTATGGTTGTTTACTTAAGTGTCCATGGCACAATCTCCATAAGGACGAAATCCATATTTATAAGTAAAATTTGTTAAAATTGGGTTTGGTCATTTTACGATTTACCCAAATAAGCCCCCTACTTATTGACAAAAGTATTTTTGTTAGGGATGCCAATTTCTACCATATCCAATGGGTATCTGTCCCTGTCCTTCCTGATAGGGTGGATTTTTTTCATGAAGGGCATGTTTTGAGGTGGGAACGGGTTTTGGGATTCTACAGCCCATATGAATATGGGCAGGGTATGGTATTAGGCTAAACCTGACCCTCCCCAACCCGCATATTGTTGGAAAACATATAAACTTTATGTATTAGGTGTTTAATTTTATGTGAAGAATATATATTTGTGTTATTTTACTTATTCATTGTAGGATTGGGGAGAGTTTTACGTTTTCATGTGCACAGAGAGTTTGAATTCTTAAAATCCGACCCTTTACGGGTTTTGGGACAGCCACAGATTGAGAGGTTAGAAAGACGAATAGGGTCTAGAATTTACAAAACCCTTACTAAACCCACCCCATTTCTATCCCTAATTTTTGTCTATAAACATATGTGACAAAAAAAGGTAGTGTTGGATCATAGTAGTAAATTCTATTATAGCAGGGAAGCTTCGCTTTTCATTATAAATTGTTAAGTGTTGGATGTTGGTGCTTGTAACGGGCAAGTAAGAGGGGGGTGACGTTTCATTTATTGTGACATGCGTGAAGGGCATGATTGATGACGTGCCTATTACACATGCATTAAATTCTTGACAAGTAATGATAGGTGTAATAAGGGCTAATGAGCAAATAATATGAACCGGAAACCTTTGAAAGTGATTTCCTCGGTGAAATCCTGTTGTGCCACATGGTAGTGCATGTGGACTAATCCTCTTCTATTTAAACTTAGTGGTTAAGGAAAATTGATTTGAGCTTTCGAAAATCCTTTGGAGTATTGTTCATCTTCTTTCCCAAAGTCTCTACTTCTTCCTCATCCTCCTCTATCGTTTGTGAAGTTCGCCCCTCTAGACTGCATCTGACGTAGCATAACGCACTCGACCAAGCTAATGCTACAAGCACCTGGGCGATTGAGTTCGGCTTTGGACTTGAAAGCCTCACATAAAGAACTAGGCATAGAACCTTAGTAGAGAGAATTGATAGAAGAAATTCTTGTGTGTGTTATTAAGCTTAGAAATAGGAGTATTTATAACAAACACTAGTAAACTTGTAGAGTAAAACAACTAGGTAATTCGAACTTGTAAAGCAACTAGGAAACTCGACTTGTAAAGCAACTTCGAACTTTTCTTCAGCATGCCTTCGACGTCCTTCGTTCGATGTCTATGCCTTCGACGTCCATCGTTCGATGTGATCACCATCATCCGATGCAGGTTGGTTGGCATAAGGAATCATTTCTAAGCTTGAACTGGCGCAGGTTGGTTCGGTGGGTCTCGAGTTGGCCCTCCATCATTCACCCCCACTTGGAAAGAACTCGATCTCGAGTCATGATCAGGATATGCAAGCGTCGCTTCTGGCAAATAATGATGAAGATCAGCAACATTAAACGTTTTGGAAATACCCATGTGATTTGGCAAGTCCACTACGTAAGCATTGTCATTGATCTTCTTAATAATCTTGTACGGACCGTACTTCCTAAGCCTTAGCTTGCTATGCTTCCCAACGGGTATGCGCTCATTCCTTAAGAACACCATGACTTCATCCCGACCTCAAACACCTGGTACCTTCGATGCCTATCAACTACAAGTTTATACTTCGCATTGGTCCGTTGAAGTTTATGTTCTTCCTTCTGTACTGACTGGATTTGTCTTGCCAACTGTTCTGCTGAAGTACTAAGACCTAGTACCCTGGGTAGCTTCACCAAGTCCAAAGCATGGTTAGGTACTTTCATATAAACAATAGAAAATGGGGATCTACCTGTAGAGCTATGAACTGCATTGTTGTAGGCAAACTTTGCTTGGGCTATGGCAAAGTCCCATTGTTTTGGTCTCTCTCTGCAAATACTGCGGATCAGGTTACCCAGAGTTTGATTTACCACTTCTGTCTACCCATCAGTCTGCGTATGAGTTGTACTGTTGAAATTCAATACGAGTCAAATAGCCTCCACAAGGTCATCCAGAAGTGACTTAGGAACCTTGTATCTCGGTCCGACGTAATGATCTTAGGCACCCCATGTAAATGGACAATCTCCCTGAAGAATAGTTTGACTATTGCTGTTGCATCCGCGGTCTTCTTGCATGGGAGGAAATGTGCCATTTTGGAAAACCGGTCAACAACCACAAAGACGGAATCCATGTTTCGCGGAGTCTTCGGCAAGCCCAGCACGAAATCCATAGATAAGTCTTCCTAAATAGCAGTAGGAACTGGTAAAGGCATGTAAAGACCAATATTCTGGGCATGTCCCTTAGCTATCTGACATATATAGCACCTACTCACGATAGTGGTCACATCTCGTCTCAGTTTAGGCCAGTAGTAACGCCCCTTGACAACCTCAATCGTCTTGCCCCTCCTGAGGTGTCCTGCTAAGCCGCCACCATGCAAGTCCCTAATGACTTTCTCGTGAAGGGATATGCAAGGAATACACAATTGGTCTCCCTTCATAAGAAATCCATCATGTACGTAGAAATCACCCGCTGGTTTCCTGTTCATGCACTTCTCCCAAACCTGCTTGAAGTCTTCATCCTGGGCGTACAGATCTTTCAAACATTCAAAGCCCACAATTTCGATACTGAGAGACTTAATCAGGGCTACACGCCTGCTCAAAGCATCTGCCACTGTATTCTGTTGTCCAACCTTATACACAATTTTGTATGAGAATTTATCAATAAAAGCAGACCACCTAGCATGTAGATCACTCATCAACTGTTTTTGCTTACTTAAATACTTAAGAGCTTGATGGTCGGTGTAAATGACAAACTCTTTAGCAATCAAATAGTGTTCCAAGGTCTTCAGTGCCCTCACAACAACATAACACTCTTTATCATAAGTGAACCACTTCTTTCTACCTTCACATAGCTTCTCACTAAAGAAAGCAACTGGTCTTTTCTCTTGTGATAACACAGCCCCTATGCCCGCTCCACTAGCATCACACTCAACCTCAAATAATTTGT